TAGAAGTGCCCTGTAGGCAGGAAGGGGGTAGAAGTGTCCTGTAGGCAGGAAGGGGGTAGAAGTGCCCGGTAGGCAGGAAGGGGGTAGTAGTGCCCTGTAGGCAGGAAGGGGGTAGAAGTGCCCTGTAGGCAGGAAGGGGGTAGAAGTGCCCGGTAGGCAGGAAGGGGGTAGAAGTGCCCGGTAGGCAGGAAGGGGGTAGAAGTGCCCGGTAGGCAGGAAGGGGGTAGAAGTGCACGGTGGGCAGGAAGGGGGTAGAAGTGCCCTGTAGGCAGGAAGGGGGTAGAAGTGTCCTGTAGGCAGGAAGGGGGTAGAAGTGCCCTGTAGGCAGGAAGGGGGTAGAAGTGCCCTGTAGGCAGGAAGGGGGTAGAAGTGTCCTGTAGGCAGGAAGGGGGTAGAAGTGCCCTGTAGGCAGGAAGGGGGTAGAAGTGTCCTGTAGGCAGGAAGGGGGTAGAAGTGCCCTGTAGGCAGGAAGGGGGTAGAAGTGTCCTGTAGGCAGGAAGAGGGTAGAAGTGTCCTGTAGGCAGGAAGGGGGTAGAAGTGCCCTGTAGGCAGGAAGGGGTAGAAGTGCCCTGTAGGCAGGAAGGGGGTAGAAGTGCCCTGTAGGCAGGAAGGGGGTAGAAGTGCCCTGTAGGCAGGAAGGGGGTAGAAGTGTCCGGTGGGCAGGAAGGGGGTAGAAGTGCCCTGTAGGCAGGAAGGGGGTAGAAGTGTCCCGGTGGGCAGGAAGGGGTAGAAGTGCCCTGGGGGCAGGAAGGGGGTAGAAGTGCCCGGGTAGGCAGGAAGGGGGTAGAAGTGCCTGTAGGCAGGAAGGGGGTAGAAGTGCCCTGTAGGCAGGAAGGGGGTAGAAGTGCCTGGGTAGGCAGGAAGGGGGTAGAAGTGCCGGTAGGCAGGAAGGGGGTAGAAGTGCCCTGTAGGCAGGAAGGGGGTAGAAGTGCCCTGTAGGCAGGAAGGGGTAGAAGTGTCCTGTAGGCAGGAAGGGGGTAGAAGTGTCCTGTAGGCAGGAAGGGGGTAGAAGTGTCCGGTAGGCAGGAAGGGGGTAGAAGTGCCTGTAGGCAGGAAGGGGGTAGAAGTGTCCGGTAGGCAGGAAGGGGGTAGAAGTGCCGGTAGGCAGGAAGGGGGTAGAAGTGTCCGGTAGGCAGGAAGGGGGTAGAAGTGTCCTGTAGGCAGGAAGGGGGGGGTAGAAGTGCCCTGTAGGCAGGAAGGGGGTAGAAGTGTCCTGTAGGCAGGAAGGGGGTAGAAGTGCCCTGTAGGCAGGAAGGGGGTAGAAGTGTCCTGTAGGCAGGAAGGGGGTAGAAGTGTCCTGTAGGACAGGAAGGGGGTAGAAGTGCCCTGTAGGCAGGAAGGGGGTAGAAGTGTGCCCTGTAGGCAGGAAGGGGGTAGAAGTGTCCTGTAGGCAGGAAGGGGGTAGAAGTGCCCTGTAGGCAGGAAGGGGGTAGAAGTGCCCTGTAGGCAGGAAGGGGGTAGAAGTGCCCTGTAGGCAGGAAGGGGGTAGAAGTGCCCTGTAGGCAGGAAGGGGGTAGAAGTGTCCTGTAGGCAGGAAGGGGGTAGAAGTGCCCTGTAGGCAGGAAGGGGGTAGAAGTGCCCAGTAGGCAGGAAGGGGGTAGAAGTGCCCTGTAGGCAGGAAGGGGGTAGAAGTGCCCTGTAGGCAGGAAGGGGGTAGAAGTGTCCGGTCTGGAAGTGGTTAAAAACCTTCCAGCACTACAAACATTCCAGTTTCAAACGGGTCCAGAAAATGCAGAAGATGGTACCCCTGCATCTTTGCATCGCCAACAGACATTTACTGCCTCAGAATGGATTGTCCTCAGTAATGTGGGGACCTTATACCAGCGAGTGAGGACCTTGTACTCGGATTCCTGGTGTTTGTTTGCAATGGCCTCCTTGTATTTACTTTCAGCCTCCTTCCTGCTCTATCCTAAACTCTCTAACCACATTTTCTCTCCTCTCCACCGGCACCTTTCTCTCCCCGCTCAAACATGCACTGGTTACCCCCATACTTAATAAACCCCTCGCTGGACCCCACCTGTTTGAATAACTTGCTCCAACTTTGCCTCCAAGCTTCTCGAGCTCCTTGTCCACAACCATATGAGTTGCTACCTCATGGGTTGAGGTTAGGGTTCTGTGTAGGACACTGGAGTTCCTCCACCCCAAACTGGTCACACCATTTTTTATAGAGCACAGTTGTAAGGGCAGTATTCTACTCACTGACCACTACTCTAAGGGACATTCTTCCCACTGACCCCCCAATGTAAGGGACATTCTTCCCACTGACCCCCAATGTAAGGGACATTCATTCTTCCCACTGACCTGACCCCCAATGTAAGGGACATTCTTCCCACTCCCACCCCCCCAATGTAAGGGACATTCTGACTGATCCCCCCCAATGTAAGGGACATTCTTCCCACTGATCCCAATGTAAGGGACATTCTTCCCACTGACCCCCAATGTAAGGGACATTCTTCCCACTGACCCCCCCAATGTAAGGGACATTCTTCCCACTGACCCCCCCCCCCAATGTAAGGGACATTCTTCCCCCACTGATCCCAATGTAAGGGACATTCTTCCCACTGACCCCCCAATGTAAGGGACATTCTTCCCACTGACCCCACCAATGTAAGGGACATTCTTCCCACTGACCCCCCAATGTAAGGGACATTCTTCCCACTGACCCCCAATGTAAGGGACATTCTTCCCACTGACCCCCAATGTAAGGGACATTCTTCCCACTGACCCCCAATGTAAGGGACATTCTTCCCACTGACCCCCAATGTAAGGGACATTCTTCCCACTGACCCCCAATGTAAGGGACATTCTTCCCACTGACCCCCAATGTAAGGGACATTCTTCCCACTGACCCCCAATGTAAGGGACATTCTTCCCACTGACCCCCAATGTAAGGGACATTCTTCCCACTGACCCCCAATGTAAGGGACATTCTTCCCACTGACCACCAATGTAAGGGACATTCTTCCCACTGACCCCCAATGTAAGGGACATTCTTCCCACTGATCACCAATGTAAGGACATTCTTCCCATTCTTCCCACTGACCCCCAATGTAAGGGACATTCTTCCCACTGATTCTTCCCACTGACCCCCAATGTAAGGGACATTCTTCCCACTGACCCCCAATGTAAGGGACATTCTTCCCACTGACCCCAATGTAAGGGACATTCTTCCCACTGACCCCCAATGTAAGGGACATTCTTCCCACTGACCCCCAATGTAAGGGACATTCTTCCCACTGACCCCCAATGTAAGGGACATTCTTCCCACTGACCCCCAATGTAAGGGACATTCTTCCCACTGATTCTTCCCCCCCAATGTAAGGGACATTCTTCCCACTGATCCCCTAAGGGGACATTCTTCCCACTGACCCCCCAATGTAAGGGACATTCTTCCCACTGACCCCCCCAATGTTCTTCCCACTGACCCAATGATTCTTCCCCTGACCCCCAATGTAAGGGACATTCTTTCACTGACCCCCAATGTAAGGGACATTCTTCCCACCCCAATGTAAGGGACATTCTTCCCACTGACCCCCCCAATGTAAGGGGGACATTCTTCCCACTGACCCCCCAATGTAAGGGACATTCTTCCCACTGACCCCCCAATGTAAGGGACATTCTTCCCACTGACCCCCCAATGTAAGGGACATTCTTCCCACTGACCCCCCAATGTAAGGGACATTCTTCCCACTGACCCCCAATGTAAGGGACATTCTTCCCACTGACCCCAATGTAAGGGACATTCTTCCCCACTGCATTCTTCCCACCCCCAATGTAAGGGACATTCTTCCCACTGACCCCCCAATGTAAGGGACATTCTTCCCACTGACCCCCAATGTAAGGGACATTCTTCCCACTGACCCCCAATGTAAGGGACATTCTTTGACCCCCCACCCCAATGTGACATTCTTCCCCTGAATGTAAGGGACATTCTTCCCACTGACCCCCAATGTAAGGGACATTCTTCCCACTGACCCCCAATGTAAGGGACATTCTTCCCACTGACCCCCAATGTAAGGGACATTCTTCCCACTGACCCCCCAATGTAAGGGGGGTGACCCCCCAATGTAGGGACATTCTTCCCACTGATCACCAATGTAAGGGACATTCTTCCCACTGACCCCCCAATGTAAGGGACATTCTTCCCACTGACCCCCAATGTAAGGGTAGCATTCTTCCCACTGACCCCCAATGTAAGGGACATTCTTCCCACTGACCCCCAATGTAAGGGACATTCTTCCCACTGATCACCAATGTAAGGGACATTCTTCCCACTAACCCCCAATGTATGGGGACATTCTCCCACTAACCCCCCCACTGACCCCCCAATGTAAGGGACATTCTTCCCACTAACCCCCAATGTAAGGGACATTCTTCCCACTGACCCCCCCAATGTAAGGGACATTCTTCCCACTGACCCCCAATGTAAGGGACATTCTTCCCACTGACCCCCAATGTAAGGGACATTCTTCCCACTGACCCCCAATGTAAGGGACATTCTTCCCACTGACCCCCAATGTAAGGGACATTCTTCCCACTGACCCCCCAATGTAAGGGACATTCTTCCCACTGACCCCCCAATGTAAGGGACATTCTTCCCACTGACCCCCAATGTAAGGGACATTCTTCCCACTGACCCCCCAATGTAAGGGACATTCTTCCCACTGACCCCCAATGTAAGGGACATTCTTCCCACTGACCCCCCAATGTAAGGGACATTCTTCCCACTGACCCCCAATGTAAGGGACATTCTTCCCACCGATCACCAATGAATTAATTTTAGGAGGTGTTCCAGGGGACATGAAAATTATTTCAAGAGTTTCTTGGGGATAAAAAGGTTGAGATAGGCGGCTCTATACATATATGTGGTCACCGATGGAACATAGGAAAAATAAATATTAAATAAACCATACATAAGTGGCCACGTGCCGGATGAAGTGAAAGCTCTGAAACTGGAGTACTGATACCAGGAAGGACTGGTCAGCATTTTGTGGATTTACCTCATTTAGGTGTCGTGGCAGGATGCATTCTTCAACCTGAGATATGACCACGTGAGAGTCGTATTCAAACTTGTAACACCCGAAGCAGTTATAGCTCCTCTGTGGAGACAAAACCATGGAGACACATTGTCACCAGGAGGTCAGAAAGTATTATAAGTCACAACGTCACCAGGTGAGGTCAGATAGTGGAGCAGTGTGTAGTAATTCATTCACAATGTACAAGCTGGAACAGTGTGGAGTAATTCATTCACAATGTAAAAGGTGGAGCAGTGTGGTGTAACTCATTCACAATGTACAAGGTGGAGCAGTGTGGTGTGGTGTAACTCATTCACAATGTACAAGGTGGAGCAGTGTGGTGTAATTTATTCACAATGTAAAAGCTGGAACAGTGTGGAGTAATTCATTCACAATGTACAAGATAGAGCAGTGTGGTGTAATTTATTCACAATGTACAAAGTGGAGCAGGTGGAACAGTGTGCAGCAAATAATTCACAATGTACAAGGTGTAGAAGTGTGGTGTAATTCATTCACAATGTACAGAATGAAACTGTGTGGAGTAATACATTTACAATGTACAGAGTGGAGCAGTGTGGTGTAATTCATTCACAATGTACAAGGTGGAGCAGTGTGGTGTAATTCATTCACAATGTACAAGGTGGAGCAGTGTGGTGTAATTCATTCACAATGTACAGAGTGGTGTAATTCATTCACAATGTACAGAGTGGTGTAATTCAATCACAATATACATAGTGAAGCATTGTGGAGTCATTATTTCACAATGAGTGGAGCAGTGTGGTGTAAGTCATTCACAATGTACAGAGTGGAGCAGTGTTGAGTAAATCATTCACAATGTACAGAGTGAAGCAAGTGGAGTAATTCATTCACAATGTACAGAGTGGAGCAGTGTGGAGTAATTCATTCACAATGTACAGAGTGGAGCAGTGTGGAGTGTGCAATACATGATGTACAGGGTGGAGCAATATGTAAATGAGATATGGCACACAGAAGTGAGAGGCGCCTGAACTCCGCCCCCCATACCTCCCCCCTGGTATACAACCCTCCAATCTCCAGGCTTGTCAGACACTTACTGCGTTCTTTCCAGCCTTGCAGTCCAATTTGCTCCAGTCATGTTTGCGGCATGACGTCTGTTTCACCAGAAACTCCACATTGACGAATATCCCAGAATTGTACTGCAGGAAGATAGAGAGAGTGAAGACACGAGGTGACATTCGTTCTAATGCTCCGCCCATAATGCTTCTCCCGCGAGGAAACAATCAGCGCATGTGGGGAGGAGTTTGCTCTAATGCTCCGCCCATAACGCTTCTCCCATGAGGAAACAATCAGCACATGTGGGGTGGAGTTTGCTCTAATGCTCCGCCCATAATGCTTCTCCCATGAGGAAACAATCAGTGCATGTGGGGAGGAGTTTACACAAAGTGTATGGAGAGTCCGCCGCTTCCTGCGGGCGGCTGTCTGTACAGTACCGGGGTGCACCCTTGTTACCCTCAGATCACCCGCATGTCTGGTGTGCCGGCATCAGGACGGGAGCCACTCCTGAGAAAATACTGAATGAAACCCAACTGAACGTTAAATCAGCCGAATACATTCCAGGAGCATCAGAACAAAAGGCGTCTTCTCTAGGAAGCAGCCACAACTTGGAAAGCCTGTCCCCTGCCAGCATACTGCAGGAAAAGGGTTCATTGGAGAGCTCTAGCTCTGTCTCAGGAGAGGAGGGTGTCAGACCTCTGCAGAGAGACCACTGCTTCCCCACACACCAACAACGACCCTTCTCTGGGCATTGCCTGATCCCACCAGCAGATTGTAGCTGGTCCCTGCCAGGACTTCCAACGTTACTTCCAGGATCCTTTCCGGTGCTTCCAATGTACTTCCAAAACATCTTCCAGTCCTTCCAGGTTCCCCGCCTCTACTTCCAACAACACTTCTAAAATCCCTGCCGGGACTTCAATAATACTTCCAGAAGTCCCATGAAATGACTCTCGGTGAGTCATGTGACCAAAAAGGTATTTAGGTTCCAGCCATTGAAGTGGCCGGTGCCGGGTCTTCTCACCAGCTACCCCTTGTTACCAAGAGCTATAATACCTACCTGTGAGGTTGCCTGACCTATGCTGACCTGGAATGTACTGACCCCCCTCATGACTGCTGCCTTCCTCAACCTCTGTATGGACCTGACTACTACTCTCTTGATTGCTGCCTGCCTTGTCCTTTGCCTGGACCTGACTACTCTCTTGATTGCTGCCTGCTTGCCTAGAACCTCTGCCTAAACTTGACTAGTCTCTTGATTGCTGTCTGCTTGAACCTCTGCCTAAACTTGTTTACCATCCTGATTGCTGCCTTCTTGAACCTCTGCCTAGATCTGACTACTCTCTTGATTGCTGCCTGCTTGAACCTCTGCCTAGACGTGACTACTCTCTTGATTGCTGCCTGCTTGAACCTCTGCCTAGACGTGACTACTCTCTTGATTGCTGCCTGCCTTGTCCGCTGCCTGGACCTGACTACTTTCTTCATTGCTGCCTGCCTTGTCCCTTGCCTGGACCTGACTACTTTCTTCATTGCTGCCTGCTTGAACCTCACTCCTAGACTTGACTACTTGACTACTTTTGATTGCTGCCTGCATTGTCCGCTGCCTGGACCTGACTACTTTCCTATCTGCCTCCTAGTGTACAGTCTTCACACTGTAGCCATCCCGGTTCTGCTATCCCCTATGTGGGGTGATCCTGAGGGCCCCAACCTGCGGAAAGTTACAGCAAAGTAAACTGGAGCCACTAGGATCTCTGGCCCATCTCAACCTCCAGGAGCTCCACTGAAGACCAGCTGTCACCTAGATCCCGCCCCTCGGGTGGCCCTGTGTCACCGGCCAGGGGGCCACTCTAACACAGCTGTAGGACATTATTGAACAGATTTGCACCTGGAATATATTTAGCTGATTTAATCTGAAAGCTCAATCAGCCTTTACAAATAAAAACAAATCTTCTCCGCAAGTGCTGACTGTCTCCTGGAGGGGCCCCCATGGACAACGTGAATCAGAGCTGCAACATTTCTCAGCTACAAATAATTGATAAAAATCCTATAAGTATTTTACCGGGGCAGCAAAACCATTTTCACGATCAATACTGGAATTCCAATGATCAGCATTGTCTATAAATATCGGTCCTTTAGGACTCCGCCTACAGGTATGTTGGGGTCCTCCAGCCAATCCGAACACTGATGCTCTGAGCTCCCCCAGAACTCACCTTTTCAGCTGCCTTCACTATGGACGTCATCCTGTATCCGCTCTGCAGATCTCTCTGATGGAACTTCTCCATCACCAGCTGGATCGTCTTACTCTGGATCTCGGACAGTTCCCCCGCCGGGACATCTCCCAGGACTCTCAGGACCAGCAGAGCGCTGAGCAGGCCCCAACCGACGGCCAGTGTCATGGTGGTCCTCAAACGGTCACCTGATAATGAAAGTCAAAACGTCACATTGGTGATGGATGGAAGGGATTCTGATCTGAGGGCGTGGTCTACTGTCCGGCAAATACTGGAAGTGTGTCAATATCAGAAAGTCCCACAGTGTTTCTATGGACCTCATTGTCCCTGTGACTTCAGTGACCACAAATCTCCAGCAACCACAGCACTCCAGTGACTCCAGTAACTCCCAGTGTCTCCAGTGACCCCATGTCTCTAGTGACCTCAGTGCTCCTGTGTTTTCAGTGATCCCCAGTGTCTCCAGTGACCCCAGTGCTCCTGTGTTTTCAGTGATCCCCAGTGTCTCCAGTGACCTCAGTGCTCCTGTGTTTTCAGTGATCCCCAGTGTCTCCAGTGACCTCAGTGCTTCCATGTGTTTTCAGTGACCCCCATTCCTGTGTCTACCAGTGACCCCAGTGTCTCCAGTGATCCCAGCAGTTCCCCAGTGTCTCCAGTGACCCCATGCTCCAATGTGTTTTCAGTGATCCCCACTGTCTCCAGTGACCTCATGTTCCTGTGTTTTCAGAGACCCCAGTGTCTCCAGTGACCCCTCAATGTGCTCCTGTGTTTTCAGTGATCCCCAGTGGTCTCCAGTGACTTCAGTGCTCCTGTGTTTTCAGTGATCCCCTGTGACTCCCTACTCAGCTATGACCCCAGACCTGCTTCTATGTTTCTACTGACCTTTAGTGTCCGCAATGAGAACATGTCTTCATATGACCCCAGCATTCCTGTGTCACCAGTAATCTCCAGTGTCTCCAGTGATCCCAGCACTCCTATATCTCTGGTGCAACTGATGTCTCCAGTGACCCCCATGCCTTTAATAATTCCAAGTGTCTTTGACTGTGACCTCCATCCTGTGACTGCAGATGTTCCTGTGTCTCCTGTGACCACATGTCTCCTAGTGACTGCCCAGCAATGTGACTGCAGTGATCCCCAGTGGTATCCTATGACTGCAGTGCCTCCAGTGTCTCCTGTGACTTCAGTGCTCCTTTCCAGTGACTCTGTGACTCCCATACTCAGCTATGTATCCCATGACCTGTGACTATCCTGCATCATCCTGTGATCTCCATTGACTCCTGTGTCACCTGTACACCTTGCAGTCTGTGACATCTCATTAACGTGCAACTCTAAGGGTGTCCAGAGCATCCTGCGTCATCCTGTGACTGCAGAGCATCCTGCGTCATCCTGTGACTCCAGAGCATCCTGCGTCATCCTGTGACTCCAGAGCATCCTGCATCATCCTGCGACTCCAGAGCATCCTGCGTCATCCTGCGACTGCAGAGCATCCTGCGTCATCCTGTGACTGCAGAGCATCCTGCGTCATCCTGTGACTGCAGAGCATCCTGCATCATCCAGAGCATCCTGCATCATCCTGTGACTGCAGAGCATCCTAAGTATCCTGTGACTGCAGAGCATCCTGCATCATCCTGCGACTGCAGAGCATCCTGCATCATCCTGTGACTCCAGAGCATCCTAAGTATCCTGTGACTGCAGAGCATCCTGCGTCATCCTGTGACTGCAGAGCATCCTGCATCATCCTGTGACTCCAGAGCATCACTAAGTATCCTGTGACTGCAGAGCATCCTAAGTATCCTGCGACTGCAGAGCATCCTGCAGTCATCCTGTGACTCCAGAGCATCCTCACATCATCCTGTGACATCCAGTGAGCATCTTACTGAGACCTGTGACACCAGAGTGCCTCTTACTGATCCTGTGACACCTTTGCCTCTTACTGAGACCTCGGTGACACCTGTGCCTCTTACTGAGACCTCGGTGACACCTGTGCCTCTTGCGGAGACCTCGGTGACACCTGTGCCTCTTGCGGAGACCTCGGTGACACCTGTGCCTCTTGCGGAGACCTCGGTGACACCTGTGCCTCTTGCGGAGACCTCGGTGACACCTGTGCCTCTTACGGAGACCTCGGTGACACCTGTGCCTCTTGCGGAGACCTCGGTGACACCTGTGCCTCTGCACGCTCTAAGGTACGTTCCTTCTATAACCTGGAGGGTCCTCCTTTCTGTATACACAGACCCCCATCCATGACATTTCTAAAGCTTTTCAGCCTTCCTCTTCATCAGCTGCAGGTTTAGGGTCCTGAGGATATAAAGTGGTTTGGTTTGCCTTTTTGTAACCTTCATAAATTGGTAACTTGTGACTTTCATGAAAAAAAACAAAGAAAACAAAACAACCCCCCCCCCGCTAAAAAATATATATATATATACAGTCACTGTACAATTTCAAACTCCTCTGAAATCCAGGAAAAAAGGTGACGAAAGACATTAAAATTTCCTTCACTATAGAGATGTTTATATGTGTGCTTTTCACTGAGACAAGGACCTTCCCATGAGAAGTCCCTCCAAAAATCCCTCCAAAAGAGACACCCTCTCCAACCCCGGAGCAGATAAAATGGGAACAATCCCCATGACTGGGGAGAGTGAGGCAAATAGAAATCACCATGGCCTGCTTACAAGGAAGACGGATCCATCCTGCAGACGGAACTCCGACGAGAACTTCAGTCTGGGAAGTCAATTGTCCAAAATATCAACACCGACCAGCAGATCACATGAACTGAGCCAAGTATCATCAGTAACATTATCCGGGTTTGAACCCATGGCACTGTGTATCTCTCCCTGGTCGTACATCGTATATAATGGGAGATTCAACCATACTTGTATGGATACATCGTATAAGCATAACTGATCCAAATACTTGTATTCAACTGTCCTATATAACAGGGAGATCCAGTGTACTTGTATGCGATACATCGTATATGAAACGCTAGGAGATCCAGGATACTTGTATGGATACATCGTACATAAAAAGCAAGATCCCAAAATACTTGTATGGATACATCGTAATATAACCGGGAGATCCCATACTTGTATGGATACATCGTATATAACCGGGAGATCCCATACTGTTTGCCTACAATGGATACAGTCGTATAAAATATGGTGGAGATCCATGATGTTTTGGATACGTCGTTTTATGCCCTGGCACTGGAGATCCCATACTTGTATGGCATCATGAAATCGAGGATTAACGCACTGGGCCCAGAAAGCTGGGTTTGCGTCCCATACTTTATGGATACATCGTAAATAACTGGGAAATGGATCCCATACTTGTATGGATAGTTCTGAAGTATATGAGCCCGGGATCTAAATCCATTGAATACTTGTATGGATAAAATCGTATGGGAAAACCCGGAGAGACCTGGAGCTGTTTACAAAGGAAGAGTGGTACAAAATTCCGGGTGAGATCAGAATACTTGTATGGATACATCGTTATATAACCGAAGATTCAGTTACTTGTCCAAATGGATGCACGTCTTATATAACCGGGAGATCCCATACTTGTATGGATACATCGTATATAACCTTTTCCCATACTTTTGGATATGTCGTATATAACCGGGAGATCCGATACTTGTATGGATACGTCGTATATAACCGGGAGATCCCATACTTGTATGATACATCGTATATTGTGGGAGATCCGATACTTGTATGGATCCATCGTATATGCCAACAATTTCGGCCATGATCCGTATACTTGTATGGTACAATTTCGTCCTCTAAATCCGGGAGACATTAAATTTCCCATACATTGTATGGATATATGTGTGCTTTTAACTGAGGACACGGGACCTTCCCATATGTAGGATCCCATCGTATATAACCGGGAGATCCCATACTTGTATGGATAGATGAAATCGTAATATAACCGGAGAGTGATCCCATACTTTATGGAGAGGATCGTATATAACCGGGAGAATCCGATACTTGTATGGATCAATCGTATATACCGACCAGCAGATCCCATACTTGTATGGATACATCGTATATAACCGGGAGATCCCATACTTGTATGGATACATCGTATATAACTAGGAGATCCCATACTTGTATGGATACATCGTATATAACCGGGAGATCCCATACTTGTATGGATACATCGTATATAACCGGGAGATCCCATACTTGTATGGATACATCGTATATAACTAGGAGATCCCATACTTGTATGGATACATCGTATATAACCGGGAGATCCGATACTTGTATGGATACATCGTATATAACTAGGAGAGATCCCATACTTGTATGGATACATCGTATATAACCGGGAGATCCCATACTTGTATGGATACATCGTATATAACAGGAGATCCCATACTTGTATGGATACATCGTATATAACCGGGAGATCCCGATACTTGTATGGATACATCGTATATAACCGGGAGATCCCATACTTGTATGGATACGTCGTATATAACCGGGAGATCCCATACTTGTATGGATACGTCGTATATAACCGGGAGATCCCATACTTGTATGGATACGTCGTATATAACCGGGAGATCCCATACTTGTATGGATACATCGTATATAACCGGGAGATCCCATACTTGTATGGATACATCGTATATAACCGGGAGATCCCATACTTGTATGGATACATCGTATATAACGGGAGATCCCATACTTGTATGGATACATCGTATATAACCGGGAGATCCCATACTTGTATGGATACATCGTATATAACCGGGAGATCCCATACTTGTATGGATACATCGTATATAACCGGGAGATCCATACTTGTATGGATACATCGTATATAACCGGGAGATCCCATACTTGTATGGATACATCGTATATAACCGGGAGATCCCATACTTGTATGGATGGATACTTGTCGTATATAACCGGGAGATCCCATACTTGTATGGATACATCGTATATAACCGGAGATCCCATACTTGTATGGATACGTCGTATATAACCGGGAGATCCCATACTTGTATGGATACGTCGTATATAACCGGGAGATCCCATACTTGTATGGATACATCGTATATAACCGGGAGATCCCATACTTGTATGGATACGTCGTATATAACCGGGAGATCCCATACTTGTATGGATATGTCGTATATAACTAGGAGATCCCATACTTGTATGGATACATCGTATATAACCGGGAGATCCCATACTTGTATGGATACATCGTATATAACCGGGAGATCCGATACTTGTATGGATACATCGTATATAACCGGGAGATCCGATACTTGTATGGATACATCGTATATAACTAGGAGATCCCATACTTGTATGGATACATCGTATATAACCGGGAGATCCGATACTTGTATGGATACATCGTATATAACCGGGAGATCCCATACTTGTATGGATACATCGTATATAACTAGGAGATCCCATACTTGTATGGATACATCGTATATAACCGGGAGATCCCATACTTGTATGGATATCCCATACTTGTATCGTATATAACCGGGAGATCCCATACTTGTATGGATACGTCGTATATAACCGGGAGATCCCATACTTGTATGGATACGTCGTATATAACCGGGAGATCCCATACTTGTATGGATACGTCGTATATAACTAGGAGATCCCATACTTTGTATGGATACGTCGTATATAACCGGGAGATCCCATACTTGTATGGATACATCGTATATAACCGGGAGATCCCATACTTGTATGGATACATCGTATATAACTAGGAGATCCCATACTTGTATGGATCCATCGTATATAACCGGGAGATCCCATACTTGTATGGATACATCGTATATAACCGGGAGATCCCATACTTGTATGGATACATCGTATATAACCGGGAGATCCCATACTTGTATGGATACATCGTATATAACCGGGAGATCCCATACTTGTATGGATACATCGTATATAACCGGGAGATCCCGATACTTGTATGGATACATCGTATATATAACCGGGAGATCCGACACTTGTATGGATTGTATGGATATACATCCCATACTTGTATGGATACATCGTATATAACCGGGAGATCCGATACTTGTATGGATACATCGTATATAACCGGGAGATCCCATACTTGTATGGATACATCGTATATAACCGGGAGATCCCATACTTGTATGGATACATCGTATATAACCGGGAGATCCCATACTTGTATGGATACATCGTATATAACCAGGAGATCCCATACTTGTATGGATACATCGTATATATAACCGGGAGATCCCATACTTGTATGGATACGTCGTATATAACCGGGAGATCCCATACTTGTATGGATACGTCGTATATAACCGGGAGATCCCATACTTGTATGGATACGTCGTATATAACTAGGAGATCCCATACTTGTATGGATACGTCGTATATAACTAGGAGATCCCATACTTGTATGGATACGTCGTATATAACCGGGAGATCCCATACTTGTATGGATACGTCGTATATAACCGGGAGATCCCATACTTGTATGGATACGTCGTATATAACCGGGAGATCCCATACTTGTATGGATACGTCGTATATAACCGGGAGATCCGATACTTGTATGGATACATCGTATATAACCGGGAGATCCGATACTTGTATGGATACATCGTATATAACCGGGAGATCCCATACTTGTATGGATACGTCGTATATAACTAGGAGATCCCATACTTGTATGGATACGTCGTATATAACCGGGAGATCCCATACTTGTATGGATACGTCGTATATAACTAGGAGATCCCATACTTGTATGGATACGTCGTATATAACCGGGAGATCCCATACTTGTATGGATACGTCGTATATAACCGGAAGATCCCATACTTGTATGGATACGTCGTATATAACTAGGAGATCCCATACTTGTATGGATACGTCGTATATAACCGGGAGATCCCATACTTGTATGGATACGTCGTATATAACCGGGAGATCGCCTAAGCTCCCACCTCACTGAGAACAACCTCCTCGATCCCCTACAGTCCGGCTTCCGTCCCCTACACTCCACCGAAACCGCCCTCCTCACCTCACCAACGACCTGCTAACCGCCAAAGCCAATGACCACTACTCAGTGCTATTACTCCTCGACCTCTCTGCGGCTTTCGACACAGTCGACCACCCCCTCCTCCTAAAAAACTACACTCCCTGGCCTCAGAAACTCCGTTCTCTCCTGGCTCTCATCCTACCTATCACAACGCTCCTTCAGTGTTACCTATAACGCCGCCACCTCCCCCTCACTGTTGGGGTCCCTCAAGGCTCTGTCCTCGGGCCCCTTCTCTTCTCCATCTACACCTCCTCCCTTGGTCAACTCATACACTCCCACAGCTTCAACTACCACCTCTATGCCGACGACACACAAATCTATCTCTCCACCCCCCCACCTCACCCCTTCAGTCTCTGCCCGCATCACACACCTACTGAGCGACATATCAGACTGGATGTCACTCCATTTCCTCAAACTAAACCTTTCTAAAACCGAGCTCCTAGTTTTCCCCCCAGCCCGTGCCCCCCCCCCCCTGACCTCTCCATCACGACCAACAACACCACCATCAGCCCCACCCCGCAAGCCAAAGTACTAGGTGTCATTCTAGACTCCAATCTGTCTTTCCAGCCCCAGGTCCAATTGCTGACAAATTCATGCAGACTCCACCTCCGCAACATGCAGACTCCACCTCCCACCTCCGCAACATGCAGACTCCACCTCCGGAACATCGCCAAAATCCGCACGTTCCTAACCCCAGAAACCACTAAACAGCTCATCCACTCCCTCATCATATCACGACTCAACTACTGCAACTCCCTCCTCACTGGCCTGCCTCGCCACAGGCTATCCCCGCTTCAGTCCATCCTGAATACGGCTGCCAGACTCACTCATTCACCTTTCCAACCGCTCCGTATCCGCCACCCCCCTCTGCCAATCCCTCCACTGGCCTCCACTCAGTGTCCTCCACCCCCCTCTGCCAATCCCTCCACTGGCCTCCACTCAGTGTCCTCCACCCCCCTCTGCCAATCCCTCCACTGGCCTCCATTCAGTGTCCTCCACCCCCCTCTGCCAATCCCTCCACTGGCCTCCACTCAGTGTGTCCTCCACCCCCCTCTGCCAATCCCTCCACTGGCCTCCATTCAGTGTCCTCCACCCCCCTCTGCCAATCCCTCCCTCCACTGGCCTCCACTCAGTCAGTGTCCGCCACCCCCCTCTGCCAATCCCTCCACTGGTCTCCACTCAGTGTCCGCCACCCCCCTCTGCCAATCCCTCCACTGGTCTCCATTCAGTGTCCCGCCACCCCCCTCTGCCAATCCCTCCACTGGCCTTCATTCAGTGTCCCTCCACCCCCCTCTGCCAATCCCTCCACTGGCTTCCACTCAGTGTCCTCCACCCCCCTCTGCCAATCCCTCCACTGGCCTCCATTCAGTGTCCGCCACCCCCCTCTGCCAATCCCTCCACTGGCCTCCACTCAGTGTCCGCCACCCCCCTCTGCCAATCCAATCCCTCCACTGGTCTCCATTCAGTGTCCGCCACCCCCCTCTGCCAATCCCTCCACTGGCCTCACACTCAGTGTCCGCCACCCCCCTCTGCCAATCCCTCCACTGGTCTCCACTCAGTGTCCTCCACCCCCCTCTGCCAATCCCTCCACTGGCCTCCATTCAGTGTCCGCCACCCCCCTCTGCCAATCCCTCCACTGGCCTCCACTCAGTGTCCCCCACCCCCCTCTGCCAATCCCTCCACTGGCCTCCACTCAGTGTCCTCCACCCCCCTCTGCCAATCCCCCCTCCTCCACTGGCCTCCACCCCCCTCTGCCAATCCCTCCACTGGCCTCCATTCAGTGTCCTCCACCCCCCTCTGCCAATCCCTCCACTGGCCTCCACCCCCCTCTGCCAATCCCTCCACTGGCCTCCATTCAGTGTCCTCCACCCCCCTCTGCCAATCCCTCCACTGGCCTCCACTCAGTGTCCGCCACCCCCCCTCTGCCAATCCCTCCACTGGCTTCCGATTGCCCAATGGATCAAATTCAAAATCCTAACACTGACGTACAAAGCCGTCCACCATACTGCCCCGAACTACATCACTGACCTAATATCCAAGTATCACCCAACACACACACTCCGCTCCTCACAAGACCTCCTTCTCTCTAGTTTCCTGGTCTCCTCCTCCCACGCCCGTCTCCAGGACTTATCCAGGGCTTCCCCCATCCTCTGGAACTCCCTACCCCAATCCATCAGACTGTCACCTACTCTCCTCTCCTTTAGGCGCACCCTGAAAACCCATCTCTTCAGGGAAGCCTACCCCACCCTCACCTAATTGCTGATGTCTCCTTCACTTTTCCCACCACTCCATCCCCCACAGCAGCCACTTCCTCCTGTACCACCATCCCCCTCCCTCCTAGATTGTAAGCTCCAAGGATCAGGGCCCTCAATCCCCTCATGTTTTTGCATTGTATTTTTTACTGTACTGTCCCCCACTACAATGTGCAGCGCTGAGCAAACTATTGGCACTATATAAATACTGTGTAATAATAATATATCTAGGAGATCCGATACTTGTATGGATACATTGTATACACAGTGCAGGAAATGTGTATTTGCCCCCCCCCCGATGGTGAATGTTCGCCCCTCACACAGAAACGGCAATTGATGTTCCCCCCCCTCTGAAACGATCGGTCTAACAATGGAATGTTCCCCCCCCCCCCCCTCACACAGAAACGATTGGTCTAACAATGGAATGTTCGCCCCTCACACAGAAACGATCAGTCTAACAATGAATGTTCTAACAGAAACGATGTCTAACAATGGAATGTTCGCCCCTCACACAGAAATGATCGGTCTAACAATGGAATGTTCGCCCCTCACACAGAAATGATCGGTCTAACAATGGAATGTTCGCCCCTCACACAGAAAATCGAACAATGGAATGTTCGCGCCCTCAACAGAAATGGGTCTAACAATAGAATGTTCCCCCTCACACAGAAATGATCGGTCTAACAATGGAATGTTCGCCACCCTCACACAGAAATGATCGGTCTAACAATGGAATGTTCGGTGTAACACTGAGAGACAGAATACAACAACAAATTCAGCAGAAATGCGTCTAACAAATGATGACGGATCTGCATGTTCATGAGGGAAAGAAGGATTTGATCCCCTATCATTCAGCAGGATTTCTGGCTCCCAGGTGTCTCTCATACAGGTAACAAGCTGAGATTAGAAGCAGTCTCTTAAAGGGAGTGCTGCTAATCTCATTGTGTTACCTGTATAAAAGACACCTGTCCACAGGAGCCATCAAACCATCAGATTCCAAACTCTCCACCATGGCAAAGACCAAAGAGCTGTCCAAGGATGTCAGGGACAAGATGGTAGACCTACACAAGGCTGGACTGGGCTACCAAACTATGGCCAAGCAGCTTGGTGAGAAGGTGACAACAGTTGGTGCAATCATTCACAAATGGAAGAAACACAAAAACAAGTGTCAGTCTCCCTAGGTCTGGTGCACCATGCAAGATCTCACCTCGTGGAGTGTCAATGATCATGAGAACAGTGAGGAATCATCCCAGAACTACACGTGAGGATCTTGTCAATGATCTCCAGGCAGCTGGGACCACAGTCACCAAGAAAACAATTGGTAACACACTACGCCGACAAGGACTGAAATCCTGCAGTGCCCGCACGGTCCCTCTGCTCAAGAAAGCCCATGTCCAGGCCCGTCTGAAGTCTGCCACTGAACATCTGAATGATGCAGAGGAGGACTGGTGGGAAGTCTTGTGGTCAGAGGAGACCAAAATCCAGCTCTTTGGCATCAACTCAACTCGCCGTGTTTGGAGGAGGAGGAATGCTGCCTATGACCCCAAGAACACCATCCCAACTGTGAAACATGGTGGTGGAAACATTCTGCTTTGGGGGGGGGGTTTTTCTGCTAAGGGGACAGGACAACTGCACCGCATCAAAGGGACGATGGACGGGGCAATGTACCCTCAAATCTTGGGTGAGAACCTTCTTCCCTCAGCCGGGGCATTGAAAATGGGTGGTGGATGGGTGTTCCAGCATGACAATGACCCAAAACACACGGCCAAGGCAACAAAGGAGCGGCTCAAGAAGAAGCACATTGAGGTCCTGGAGTGGCCTAGCCAGTCTCCACACCTTCATCCGATGAAAATCTGTGGAGGGAGCTGAAAGTTCGAGTTGCCAAACGTCAGCCACCAAACCTTAATGACTTGGAGAGGATCTGCCAAGAGGAGTGGGCCAAAATCCCCCCCGAGATGTGTGCGAACCTGGGGGCCAACTCCAGGAAACGCCTGACCTCTGTGATGGCCAACAAGGGATTGGCCACCAAGTACTAAGTCATGTTTTGTGAAGGGGATCAAATCCTTCTTTCCCTCATGAACATGCAGATCAGTCATCATTTGTTAGACGCATTTCTGCTGAATTTGTTGTTGTATTCTGTCTCTCATTGTTACACCGAACATTCCATTGTTAGACCGATCATTTCTGTGTGAGGGGGAAACGTTCCATTCTGTTAGACCGACCGATTGTTTCTGTGTGAGGGGCGAACGTTCCATTGTTAGACCCGATCATTTCTGTGTGAGGGGCGAACATAGACCCATTGTTAGAACGTTCCGATCGTTTGTGTGAGGGGCGAACATTCCATTGTTAGACCGATCGTTTGTGTGAGGGGCGAACATTCAGCATCAGGGGGGGCAAATACACATTTCCTGCACTGTACATGAGTCCTGGATGATGCAGAGAACATCACTGGAGTGTTAACATCAGCATGGCTCTCAGCACTGTGCGCAGAGGGCGGGGCCATGAATTCACGCCCTAACAGTCATTCCTCCGTTTTCCTGATTGGGTGAAGATGGGTATCATGCAGCCTAGAGGACTGAGGGCATCTTGTGGTGAAGAAGAGGTACTGCAGGGGCATCTTTGGAATAATTGTGGGTACTGGAGCCCGGAGTTGGGCTTTTTTTGCATAGTTCTCTGTGAATCCTTTGTCATGTATTGAATGTATATTAGTAACACAGATATCACATATAATATCACAGATTGTGAACACATTTATATACCGTAATATAACATTGAGGAGAAGTTCTGCTGCTTCTGGTGCATTTCTGTGATGGACTCAGATATGGAATACAGAGAGAAGATCCTTTACTAGTCCCGGCCATCCCGGGTTGTAGTTTGTGATGTTCGTGTCTCTCGGAGAAGCCGTGACGTGTTTATATTGCACACAGAAATCTCAGCTTCAGCCTCCTTGCACTCAGTGGAGGTCCCCTTTATAGGGGAATATTGGGGGGTTCTGGACTCACATACTGTCTATCTATAGAGTCAGAGAAGTTGGACTTTCACTTTCATTTCCTGAGACACAAATGAGTCCACCATGTATTATATACAGTGCTACACGCAGTACACGGAATATATCATACATACGTGTCTCCTGTGCAGGGTCCATATATAGAACATATAATACATGTGTGTCTCCTGTGCAGGGTCCATATATAGAATATATAATACACACGTGTGTCTGGCACCGGGTCTGTATATAGAACATATCATACATACGTGTCTCCTGTGCAGGGTCTGTATATAGAATATATCATACATGTGTGTCTCCTGTGCAGGGTCCGTATATAGAATACATACGTGTGTCTGGCACCAGGTCTGTATATAGAACATATACATACGTGTCTCCTGTGCAGGGTCTGTATATAGAATATATAATACATACGTGTCTCCTGTGCAGGGTCCATATATACAATACATAATACATACGTGTGTATGGCACCAGGTCAGTATATAGAACATATAATACATACGTGTGTCTGGTGCCGGTTCTGTATATAGAACATATGATACATACGTGTGTCTGGTGCCGGTTCTGTATATAGAACATATAATACATACGTGTGTCTGGTGCCGGTTCTGTATATAGAACATATAATACATATGTGTGTCTGGCGCCGGTTCTGTATATAGAACATATAATACATACGTGTGTCTGGTGCCGGTTCTGTATATAGAACATATAATACATACGTGTGTCTGGCGCCGGGTCTGTATATAGAACATATAATACATACGTGTGTCTGGGCACCGGTTCTGTATATAGAACATATAATACATACGTGTGTCTGGCGCCGGGTCTGTAAATAGAACATATAATACATACGTGTGTCTGGCGCTGGTTCCGTGTGCTCCGGGAGGGTTGCAGGGGGTCGGTCGGATCTCTGGAGGATTCTCGGAATGACAGCGGAGCGGAAAACAGGGAAAAGGAGGAGAGGCAGAGGAGGCGGGGCCGGCCCAGAGAGGGAAGGGGGGAGCTCACCCCCCAGAGCCTTCTCAGATTTTGGCATCCAGCAGAAGAATGGGGGCATTTGGGGGGGGGGGGGGAATCTGAGGGATGAGGGGGGGGCATCTGAGGGGGGGGGGGAGAGGGGGGGGGACATACGGGCAGATTTCAACTCTGAAAACCTTTAGAATTTTAGGAAACTTTCCATAACGATACAATGTAACAACAAACAATTCCACAACAAGCAAAGTGACATCCGGTCCCTCCTCTGGACCCAAACCATCCATCCCTCACCCTGAAAACCGTCCCTCCCAGAGATCGGAGGAGGGGCGCGCTGTACAGGGATGATGGTACTCCCATAG